TATATGTACATTCGTATATATACACACACATATATATATAAAAATGATGAAAGTCTGGGCAAGTCTCTGTTGCGTAACTGGAGTGTGGTGCAGAAATCCCTGAGCCAGTGCTGACCCAACATGGCGAATTGCCACAGCACAACCAGCCACCTGTGGGTTGCTCCTGTGTGAGCTGGCTGGGTCTGGAGGCCATAGAAAGTCAAGAGATTAGTTCCTTTGCTCCAGTGCAACTCCATATACTTATGGCTTTATTTTTTCCATACCAGAGCCAACTAAAGTAGAACAAACTGGGTTGCAGTGCAGGTGTTCTTGCTGAGCTTGCATGAATGCTACATGCAGGAGAGTAAGGAGCAGGAGAGAGGTCATGGTAAGGCCCACTGACCCGGAGTGCTTTACCATAATAGAAAACATATTGCAGTGATACTTTAAATAGCATCAGTCCAGCTGCACATAGCCCTGAATGGTCTAGGTCAGTATGAGCCTAAGCTTATGAGACCTCAGCAGCAAATTGTCATCTGCAGAAACTGTCTGTGAAGACTACAAGTTAAGGGAAGCCTAGTCTTTTAATAGACGAATGTAGTGTTTAGTCATCAGACAATCTAGAAAACTGGGTCAGGTAGGTGTTGCGTCATAGCAGACAGAATATGGTATTAATCAAGAAGGCACATAGCGAAGTATATATCATAGATATTTGATTACATTAGTGGAGTTATCTGTAATTGTTGGGTAGAGTCATATGATGGAACATGATCGAGTCACCATGGCTTACCAGGGTACCGCCCATCTGTTTAAATGTTAGTAAGGATGACTCATGGTGTTAGCATGGCTGTGCAGAGGGAGGGGAGCCAACGTGGTCAGTTACAGCAGCTTGGCTAACATGTGATATTTTACTAAGCCACCGTAACGCTATCCATCCAGGCCACGTATGCCCAAAGAGATAGTGTACGAATGCTGACTGAGACCCCATCGTGTCCAACAGCAGGCTCCTGCTGCAACACAAAATTCTTAGATTTGGGAAAAAAACCCACAGATGGCCAGATTTTCAGTGAGGTTGAGCACTTGCCAGTTCTCTATCTTATCTGTCCTTTATTTGTGGGCTGTTTGCCCAACAACCCTATTTATTTAGCAACACAGGTGCCAAGGAATTAAAATCCTCAGTCAGCAATATTGACTGACAGGCTGCAGGCAGCACCTCCTCAGCATTTACAAAGAGAGGAGCAGAGTCGATGTGTCCAACATTAAAAATAACAATTATAAACTCTCACTGGCTTTCTTTGCTGCAGGGTAGAAAGCAACAACAAAAGAGATTGTGTTGTCCTTGGAAGGAGAAGAAATGTCTTAGACAAATTGAGTATCTCAGCCTATTACGGTTCTGTGCCATACACATTCCCTGAACTCTGTGCAAGTGAGCGCGCACGAGCACGTGCTAATCGATGACCTGTATTCAGTGTGGAAGCAATAGAAGTATCCGTGAGTACTGGCCAATGTCAGCTTCCCCAATGGGGAGTGGAATCTGGTGTGCATTATGTAGCACTTTTATTGGTGGCAGGAGCGGTGCAGACTTTTCGACAAAGAGGGTCAGCCTTGAAGCACAAGGTTTCTCTGACTGCTCTGCACCTCTTTGCAAAAACACCCTTGGGAACAGACTAGCAGGAGTGTAGCAAGAAAAAATACCTGAAGTACTGAGGATTTTTTTTCCTCTAGCTAAGTGTAAAGCGTATGCAGACCCCCAAAGCAAAGCAGCATTAAAGGTGAAACTGGGGACAGCAAGGAAGCTTCTTTGCCATTTTAATAAATACCAATGATTCCCTTTTGCCCAAGTCCCATATTCCCAAACTCATTAAAGCAATTTTGGAAATTTTTTTGGCTCTGGAACATATAAGCAAAACTGAAACTGTGCAGTCCCTTGAGAATCACTTGCACAAATTGCATAGGTCAAGCCAAAATAAGTTTCTGTCAAACAGCCTAACACCTAAGCTTATTATGAAACTGCTGAATTGTACAAAGGGTCTGTATGTGGGACGGTCTCAGAATGAATAAAGGGGAGGGGCTGTTGTCATGGAACTTGTTTTACTTCGGTCCCACTGAAGACTCAAGTGATATTTCTGTTGAATGCATTGCTCCTGTTAGTTCCTGTAGGCTGCGTCTAAGCCAGTGGACCCAGAGGGCTGCAGAGCTCCGGCGGGCGGGTGGCTGGGTGCACACCTCAGTCTTGTCCCAGGACAGGCATGAGAGTGCACCAGCACTTGCTCCTTTCCTGCCCGCTCCTCCCTGCCCACTTTCCTGGGAGGAAACCCCGGGTGCATCCATGGCAGGGGCTGCAGCACGCTCTGTTCTGCTCCTCCCCCCCCCCCCAGCATGGGGGTCTCAGCCCTTCTGTATGGCAGCTGTCACACAGACTTTAAAGTACGAGATAGAGAAGACCTGTTTGAGCTTGCTGCCTGCTGCTCAGGTGGTAGTTGAGGTGAGGATGGGCCGGTGGGAAGTGGACTCTGCTTGTGGGGGTCACCACAGCCTCTGGAAACCAAACTGAGATTGTTCTCTTCCTCACATTCAGCCTGGTAACTCCTCACTTTCTTCTTTTCAAAGGATCACTGAATCTGCTTTTCGTGCTGTTTTGACCCTGTCCTAATGATTCGTCAGTCCTCTTGTGCAAATGAGTGCTGGTACATGGAGCAGCTGTGTTTTAAGTGGAGAGTAGGGTGGGTCAGGGGCTGTGTACATTATTTTCCGAGCTAATTTTTCCTGCACTACATCCTTTCCATTTACACCACCTCTACAGCTCCCTAGGCTTAGCCTTGTGCTGAGCTGACCATGGAGTGCCCTATCCCCGAATTGATTTGTGGTCCCTCACAGTGCTTCTTGTACCCTCTCACAGGGTTGCACAACGTATTTGGGAGATACTGTCTTGAGTTTCTTTGGGGGGGTATGAAGATGTGAAGTACATCATATTCCTCCATCAACAGATAAGCGGGGAAGCGTAGGAAGAGCTTCTTGTCTGTATCTGAGATACATTTGTTGTTGTTTTGGGTTTTTTTTCCCCCCTTCTGAATAAGTACTGTATGTGTCTGGGAGAATTTTTAAAACATCCTTCAAAACACAGGCTTTTTCTCTCCATGGAGAACCAAGACAAAAGGATGGGTTCAGTCATGTGCAGCTGCTAAAGAGAGGGCAGCTGAGGGCAGGGCTGTCTGGGCAGGGCAGGGACTTTGAGGTGGCATTTGTTGGGACAGAAATGTTTCTGGGGGGAACGGGCTTGAAGAGAGGAGGGTTGAAGGACTGAAAGTCCAAGGATGGGAAATACTGGGGAGTTTTAGGGAAGAAGGGATTAGGTGGTTTGAGCTCTGGGCAGAAGAGGATGAGACTTGTAGGTCAGAAGAAGCTGGTGTTGCCATGAGACAGGCACCTCCGCTTTGGGAGCCTGGATTTGGTGTCCTCCATATGGGTGGTCTGTGAATCCCATTGCTCACAGCCTTTGGCCTCTTTGCTTGTTGTTAGATAAATGGAAGTGACAGCTAAAGTTAGAGGAGGCGTGTATGTATTCATGATTGCCAGTATCACTTACAGTTGGAGGGGCAAGAAGTAAAGCCCCATCATTTGGTGTGACACCGTTCAGACCAAGTGGGAGAAGTGACTGTCTTCCCCCTTGCAGCTCTGAGGTTATGACTCTGCTTCCCTGACCAGCCCAGCTCAATTTTGAGGGTTTCATGGTTGGCTGTGGATTTGTCACTGAAGCAAAGGATGCTTCTGCCAAGGCTGAAAATCAATGCTGATGTTTAGAGGCTCCAAATTGTCTTTAGACTCTTCCCATGCTCCCCCCTGCAAAGGCTTTTCAAGCTCCTGGACTATGCCCCCTTCTCTCCAGTCCTTCTCACCTCTAGGTGTATTCTCTCTCCTGCCTAATAAACAGTGTAAACTGCCTATTATACTGCAGAGCATCCTACTCTGTGAGAATTTAATGGAGTAGCTTATACTAGCAATGTTTGTTGAGGCACTGTATGTGAAAGCTTTCTTATTTTCATGCTTTTTGAAAAGGTAACCAGTTCTATTTACCAAAAACTTCAGGCAACTGATACCTTCATAACTAAACACCACTCATAACTTCAAAACTAAAAAAAAAAAAAAAAAAGAAAAAAGCTGATTAATTTAACTAATTCCCAAGACCACATTCTTAAAAGCTATTTTCAAAGAGTTGTCCCAGCTTTGTTTAATCCATTAATTTTATGATTCTTCTTCTTTCTGAGTGGGCCTGCTTTCTCACATGCACTCTTTTCCCTGTGCTGTACTTAGAAAAATCCTTCTAAATCTTTTGAACTCCTTTTGCCAAAATAACTCACTCTGCTTTTTTATAGTCCGTGCTTTTTGCCTTTACAAGCTACTTAATCTGAATATAATTTTGCTAATTTTCTTTCTTTTTTTCCATTTTCTGTGCCCTGGTGACATGCTAACTGGTAAAATCAGGAACCTTGCTTTGGAACAAAGACTTGGTAGAGTTTCACAGGAGAGAATATCAAGAGATGAAATACTCATTTTAGGGTAGTTTATTTACAGGTGGTAAAATTTCAGAATTAATTTAAGAGTGTTTAATTTTCTGTCATAGTCTGCAAAGCTATCAGCCAGATATTTCTGTTCCCGAGGGCTGAATTTACAGCAATGCACTGGTGTGGCATGCCAGGAAATTTTCCTGCTTTGTCTGTAGAAATCTTTTGCTGGCCACTGTAAGATGCAGAGGTGCATACCCTGAGAGTGGCTGTTGCGTTTACATTCATGTTCTGTCAGTGAACTGTACTGGTGCTTTAACCGATAAACAGTAGAGGGAAGATGATTCATCTGTTTCTTGAAAACTTTCTGTTCTACTGATTTATGCAGGAGAGGACAAAAGTGGGATTGGCTTATCTGCGCCTGCTTGTCTAGAGTTGCCTGTGCCTAGCAATGGCTGGCATGGTAAGGCTTGTTTTGGTCTCCATAGCCCGTGACAGCTTTCTTTCCTTTTCTCCTAGGCCTGTCCCAGGTTCTCTGTCTTCACTACTGCACCTACACAACCGACAAAGACAGCCTATGCCTGCCTCTATGCCCGGCACCCTGCCCAACCCTACCATGCCTGGATCTTCTGCTGTACTCATGCCTGTAAGTTTTTTGGTTTGGGTTTTTTGGTGGGGAGGAAGGTTGGTTTTTTGCTCGATTCAGCCTATGCAGAGGTGACAGTCTGCTGGATTTTCTGAAAAACCAAAGTGTAATGAGTTACGGAAGCCAGACCCTTTTCATTGCTTCATCTCACACAAGAGTATTGCTGGTGCAGTTAATGGCATGTTAATTAGTGTGAGAGTGATTAGACACAGTTTACATGAGACTACAATTTCTGGTTCTCACACTTGGTCATGTAGGGGAGATCAGTATGTCTGCTGGAGCAAAAAGTTTTTTCTGAAGACAGACAAAACTGGAAAAGCCATGTACATAAGTTACACCAGTGAACTCTAAGTAATCCTTTTGTTTGTGGGAGATAATCAGCTAACAATAAAGAAATGTGACTTACTTTTCCAGCCTGGTAACTTGCACTTCATTAGAATTTGGTCATGATCACTGCTCATCTTCCACTCGTTTCTGCAGAGATGGGAACATTTCCCATCTTCTGGGAGACAGGGGTGCTTTGCAGTTGTAGCTTCAAATTCTTAAATTATTTTAACAACCATTTCAGTATAAGACATTTGGGCAGATTAGGGGTGGAGATAAGTAAGGATGGCACAGGGAAGAGGGGACTGGGAGAGGAGAAGTTTAAGTTTCATTCCAGGATGTTCAGTTTGGAAGACAGCCTGAGAGCAATTGACCATGGGAGGGAGGAAAGCACTGCTTGTTCTGGCTTTGCTGGAGCAAGGGGGACATTCCACAGGGCTACAAAGATTCAGGTTTGGCTGCTATTTGAGGAGTCATTAATAAGTTATTAATTAGTAACTTGTCAATAAGGCTCTCCTGGAATATTGACCAGTAACTTCAAAAAAAAAAAAAAAAAAGACATGTCACTGTGGGCAGTTTTTTTCTGGCATGATTCCAAGGAACCTGAAATGGAGCAAACATCCCGCTTCGGTGTAAGCTCAGGGCCTTCGGATTGCTGCCGGGGAGCCCTTCGGGCAGCTCTCCTTGCTGACAAGCAGGTGTGCTCTGGCTGAGAAGCCCGGAGACGTGAGCACGGAGGCGAGACAGACCCTATCAGCGCTGGCTGCCCCAGCTACAGCTCCTGCACCACAGCCTTCCTGAAAGGGCTGCAGAGGAGATGGCAGCGGGAGCCGCTCCTGCCCCATGGGGAGGGCGAGGGACCCTGGCGGAGGCAGCTTCTCCCCGCCAGCGGGCAGTGGGATACTGTCCTCTCCCCCAGGCCCAGCACCCATTCTTGCTGGGATCATGGAGGGTGGGAGTCAATACTCCACCGCAGGGCACAAAAAATAGTTCCCCTGTTTGGAAACGCTCAGGAGGATCCAAAAGCTTCTTTCCTGTATCAGCCAAAGATTCAGGGGACTGGCCCAAAGCGAGGCAGGGTGCTTAGCTCTGATTGAAAGCAGCACCAAAACCCTACTTATCCCCCCTACCAGTCACTAGCAGTGTAACAGGGCTTGCCTCTTTTCGAGGAAGACACCCCAGGACATTATTTTATCCAGGCCTTACTGCCCTCAGGTTTTGTTTGAAAATCGTATCCTTCCCTCCCAGCCTAGTGAGATTCGCTTGCAGAAAGGGCTCTCAATAGCCAGGAGGAGTTCTGCTTTCTTTTTTGCTATCTCAGCAGTACATGAAAGCTTCCCTTACAAGACATATGGAAAACTCTTTTCAGCTGAGCAGTCCGAGTGAAGGAAAAAGAGCCAACTCGTTTTCCATATACTCAAGATTGTGGATTTTTATTTATGTTTTTAACAAGCTAAGTTGGGCTGCACTGACAGGGAAAGCCACAACTTTATACAGTGATGCTTTTAAAACCACTTAACTCCAAGTGTTGTTATATTGAAAGGGAGAAAATCATTACAAAAAAGCTCAAACCTGGGTGGCTGCTACATTTGTTTAGTAAAGAACCCTTTTCTTTGTAATTGGCTGTGAGTTTTCAGGGCCGATTCTGATGAAACACACGCCTGCATGCATACACACATGCAATTCACGACACAGATTGTTATTTTTCCAGTCATGACATGAAGAAATAAAACTGAGTCCATTTAAATAGAAACTGAGCATAAATTCTTGCAAATGTCTCCAGACGTTTTCAAACCTTTTTTTTTTCTTTTTCTTTTAAAAGATGGAGCGACAAATGTCAATGAACTCCAACATCATGGGGATGCAGGGGCCGAACATCAATAATCCGTGTGCTTCACCTCAAGTCCCCCCAATGCATTCAGAAGCCAAAATGGTAAAAACAGAAAATTAAAAAAATATATATTTTCTTTTCTTGTATTGCTCTCGCGTACTGGTTAGCCAGACAGTGGGGGATGTAGCCAGACACTGCTTACTTCATTCTTAGTCATATGTTGTACACTTTTTTAATACTCTGCAGTAAATTGCCTTTGTGTCTATGAACTTTCAAGATGTTCCTAGTCCTAGGTGAACTCTTGGTGAGAGGGAACTGAAGTGAAGGGTGGGCTATCTGATCCATACTGTGTTAAATAGGATTTTTGTGGCAGATTAGTAGAATTTAAGCAAATGGTCTGGCTGGTTCTCTGATGTCTGCTCCACATCTTGGCTTAAAGAAAATTGTAAGTTAGTAAAGAGTGAAGTAGAAAGTGTCTGATGTGGAGGGAGTGTACATAGTCTTTGTTTTTTCCGGATATGTGCATGGTGTATCAGGGTAATGGCAGTGTTAGAAAAGCAGACCGAACAATGTTTATAAAAATGGGATGTTTTCTATTGCTTGGGTGCAACAAAGGTGTTGCTGTCAAATAGAAGAGTCAGAATTTGGATGAAAATAATTTTTTTATACAAGTCAAATGTCATAGTGTTTTTTAAAGTTGTTGTATGTCTTACAAGGTCAAGGCTTCTCAGGCATATGCACTGGTATAGGATTAGGGTAGGTAAACTATACTTCAGGTGGGCATTTGTGAGTTTTCCCCAGCTTTCTATGCACTCTCATGGAGGTATTTGGCACTAATATCCCTGGAACCCGAGTTGATCAATGTAGGAACACTTAGGCTTTTTCAGTTTCAGAACTGCCATTTGCTGGCTAGTAGAAGTACGAGGACAGAAGATTGCAGTTTAACTCTGTAGGGTTTTTATCCTCTCAAGATATCTCATCATAGTGGAAAACAGGAGTAACTTCATTGAACTTCCTTCAGTGGCATTTTGCCAAAGTAAAATTGTCATAGGTGAGAGAATGAAATCAAGCCGACAAAGATTAAGCAACCACATGTTTTTATATATTTCTACTTTGCATGACTGGTACAGCTTTTAAAGTTGTTGTCATCTATCCTGAGGCAAAGAAAAATATCTTCTTGTCTATAGGTATGGTGCATGCAAGAGACTCTGGGATAAGAGCAACAACATATACAAGCTTATTCTATCTCTGTTTTCTTAGATTGGATAGGTCATGCCTTCACCTCACTGTTGGTCTGGGTTAGGCTGTTAACCCAACCTCTGTTAACACCCCGTCTAAAACCACACTCCGTAAACATGCAGCCAGTTGGCCAGAAGAAGAGCAATAGCCAAAAACGTTGGCTCCCCCAGCCAAGGAAAACCTGTGGTCAAGAGTTCTCTCTCTGCTGTACCACACAGTGACGGTGACATGCCAAATGGCAACAGCATCTGCAGCAGAGCTTGTTAAAAACTTTTTGGAATAGGCAAGTGTTTTTTCAACACAAGCATAGCTGAGCCAAGCTAAATACTTCTGGGCTGAATAAATCTAAAACTGGCATCTGTTTTGGGGACTAAAGGTTCTGTAGTTTACTCTCCCCCTGCACCCCTGCCTTTTTTTTACTGGAAGTGCGAGGCTACTTAAGAACAAGATTAAATTATTGGTGCATGTGGTGAGAATTCTGTACTTTACTAGCTGAAACTGTACATTAATACAAATTACTTTTTAATTAAGCAGGTTTTGTCCCTAAATCTAATGTATGAAGGCACAGTTCTTTCAGACCGAAATTGCTATCGCTTCCAAAACACAGTATAGCGAACAAGCAGCGCCTTTGCTTCTCAGGGGCTTTCTGCCACTCTTCCAGAGGTGGAAAAAAAATCTACACACATTAACTCTTAAGAGTAAGAGGCATGATTCAGAGCTCCAGGACCTTTCTTCTTTTCAAACGCAGGGGTATTTTTAATATTCTATATTCTAGTTTTATACTTTGTTTCTGTTTGAGCACACAATGAATGTAAAAAGCCTCTTCACTTAGCCACTGCTTTGAGGAATACGAATCTATTAACAATACTCTGCGTGAACACAAAGTGGAAGAAATGTAGGAAATATTCAGAGCAAAATTATTTCTTACATGTAAGTTCATGAATTTTTAAATCTGAATCATCTGTATTACAGACATGTTTGTTCTTATTAACTATTTCACTTTGCTTCGTGCTCAAAGCATGAGACTTCGCATACTCTGGTGACTTTTTTTAAAAAGTCGAAAACAAGGGTGCTTAGTACCTTACCGGATTGCGTCCTGCATTAGGAAGGAATTTCAGATTTCCCCCAACTCTGCTAATGCTATTACTGCTGGTGCATCCAGCACTGCTTATGTTCTCTTTGGCTGGCCCCACACTGTGAAGAATGTATGTGTGGAAGACCAGGCAGAGTCATCTAAGCTTCTTGCAGCTAATGACTGCAGTAACTGGAGAGGTTTGGGGGACTTTGGGCCTGATTCATCAGCCATCCAAATCCATGGCAGATGGATCAGCATTTTCTTCGTGCCTACATGAAAGAATGCAGGACAGGCTCGTCTAGATGTGAGACCCAGATGTGAGACCAAATCCTTCTGGCCTCATGAAAGTATGTACCTGAGCAATGCAAGCATGATTTGGTATGCAGCAGTCGTAACACTATTTGGTGATGTGTGTGACTTAATTTGCTTCTGTAAAATAAATATGAATAAATAATATCAGCATGGATGCTGTGTGATGGCAGGTTTTTTAGAGAGAGCAGATAGATGGCACAAGACTCACACCCTTGATTGGTTCGCGATCAGTTTGTAGGAGGAAGTGGAAGCCAGCCTGATAAGTACATACATTGTCTGATACACAAGCACATCTACAGACACATATAGAATGTGTTGCGTTAATGTTATGTTTCTATAATAAGCAATTTATTTACCTATATGTATTTAAATCGGCTTGTATTATCTGGCATTTATAGAAATCCACCAAGCCACTGCCACCCAAGATGCTTGTTTCCTTGCTTAATTTTTTCAGGAGAATGTTCCTTCAGATATTAAAGTGTTGTAGATGACATCCCAGAACTGATTTAATTTATCACAACAATCTCAGTTTCCCTCACAGTGTGCCTCTCAATTAGGTTATCACCTAATGCTTTAAAACTGTCCTAGTAAATGAATGAGTGAACATCTAAATCAATACTGCTTTCTTCTTAGATTCAGAGCTGAGTGGATAAAACCTTCCTGCTGCCCACCAAAAACACACATTGATTTTGTATTAAAATATATTGCATTGGAAAGTGGAGGAAACATATAGCTCTAAGTGTACATGGTAAAAATATGCAGAATAGCACGTGTAGCATATTAACATGTGGTTCAGTAGGCTGAGAATATTATGAACTCGGAATTGTTGGCGGTGCCTTTGCCGTAATACACTGCTTACATACAGTTTGGTTTTGCAGTTTCAGAATATTCAAGGTTTTATAACTCGGAAGTGCAATGCCATGTGGATTATTGGAGTGAAAGATAAATAGGGTGCACTGAACTGCTGGAAGGCTGTGTGAGAACAGGTCTTTTCGGTGGAGCTGATGACTCTCTATCCGAATTTTGCAAGGCATCGATCTTTACCTGTAGAGATTTATGAGCTCTGAAAGAAGGTAGAAAAAGCAGGCTGGCAATGAAAATAATTGAACTTAAAAATACAGTTTTCAATTTGACCTGTTAATTTTTTCTTTTACATTCTCCATCTGCCCCTTGCCAGATATGTATTTTGTAAAATTTAAATAAAACGTAACACGTGTGGCTTGGCTGTGCCTGCCTTCCTGACAGAATCTGTATGGCTCTTTAAAAAAGAAAAGAAATTATTTCCATATCAGAAGTATGTAGGTTTGTGGGCTATTGTTTTTGCCCTGCATGCATTACTAGGTTGAACAGTAATAAAAAGAAAATTAATTTGAAACCGTCTATCCAATGTAAGAGTGAAAACGTAACCAGAAAAGAAAAGTAATAAACCAGTAATGAGAATGTTCCTAATTATAATGGTAAAATATCCATATTAACTGAACCTCATAATTTACCTAAGAATGCTGGACAGCTTTGGTGGAGGAGCAAGAGAGAGGTGAAAGAAGTTGCGGTTAGCCTGTTGTCATCAGCACTGATTTTTATTCAACTTAATGAGAGTTAAGGGTCCAGCTCCTACTGGTGGCTGTGAAAATCCCAGCCCAAGCGTCGCGCAGCAATCCATCCCAGCAGAAAGGCAGGACTGGCTGCGGGGCCCTGGGTGCATTTCGTGTGGCTGTCAGGCACTGCTCGCTTTCTCCAGAAACGCAGCACACCAGCCAAGCGGGAAAGGCTCGGCCGCAAAGGTGGCCGGCTTTCCTCCGGTGCGGAGTGGGGTCTGTGTTGGGATGGAGTCTTCTGCTGCTTCTTGTTTTACAGATAACATGCATTTCCACGCCTGCGAGCTGTGAAGGTGCAGCTGGTGCCAGGGGACAAACGGCTGGAGTAAGCTCGTACCCCCGGCCCCGGTTTGGTACTGGGCCCAGCCGCTGGATGCGGAAACGAGCGCTGCCCTAACAGCAGTGGCATCCTGGGACGGCTGGTGGCCTGGGGAAGGACATCCCGCTGGGTACCAGCTCTGGGGCCACGTCCGCGAGGCTTCCATACCGATGCCGGGCAGGTGGCTGGCGTAGGCAGTCTGGGCAGGATCAGAGCCACTGAAGCTCTAGGTATAGCTACTTGATACTTCATGACTGAAGATACTTTGTTAAATATGATAAACAGTTTGAAGTCCCTGTTTTCCTATCAAGCTGGCTGGGAAAGGAGTCGCTTTAGGAGAGCAACACGCATGGCTTCAGGGCCAGGAGGCTTTTCTTCGCACGGATTCTGGACTACTGAGCAGAAAGAAAATGTCACATCTCTGCAGAGCTTTCAACAGCAATTGCTCGTCTTGTCCTTCACAATAAAGCAATGAAAGCATCATAAGAAAAAAAAAAATAATGTGCAAAGCAAAGCCTTCCAATATAAAAAAAAAGACAAAATTTCCTGTGTTGGTAACTGA